AATATCTTGAGGATGTATGACAATTCTGGAGAGAACAGAGAATCAGATTCGACAGCAAGATAGAATGGTTCAACAACGGTCTAGTTTTCCTAGGCCGTAAATGTAATGAATATTCCAAAGCCCTGGCTAACCTACGACATCAACAGGAAATAGAATTACATAAACAAATTCATGATCTACAAGAAAATGAAACTAATTCATTATCTCCAGATGAGTTAGAATCTCTGACTGGTGAGATCAGAGATTTGGATGACCAACTGCTCAAGTTCAAAGAATACAGATGGCAAGGTGCAAGGATCAAAGGGAAACATAACATACATCAGATGGAAGGATCCATGGACGCGAGATTTTTCTCTATGGCAAGAGCGAGAGCAGGCAAAACTACAATTGAAGCATTGGCAAATCTTTTTAATTCAAACGCACCATTAGTTACATCCACAACAGCCAGCACCAAGATTGCCAGATATTTCTATAAAGATTTGTTCACCTCCCATAACATTATCACCTCCAAACTCCAGCGTTCTACAGAGATAGATGAATTTCTCCTCCCGCTAAAAAAAGTCCATCACAGAATTCCAAAAAGAAAATTAGAAATGCCTCTATCCAAAGAAGAAATCTGAAAGGCGTTAATTTTGATGGAGGAAGAAAAAACACGAGGAATAGATGGTCTCCCAAAATAATTCTGGGAGTCTATGTGGGATCACCTTTCCCAAGACCTTATGAATTTTTATCACGAAGTTTGGATAACTGGGGACACGGGTGAGATAGTGAACCAAGGAATCCTAACTCTATTATATAAAAAAGGAGATAAATCAGATATTAGAAATTACAGACTCATCACCTTACTAACAGTCGTATATAAGATGGTAGCCAAAGCACTAGCAGATAGGATGATAAATGTCATAACAGACATTATTCACCCGACACAAACATACTTTATTACAGGACGCAATATTCAAGATAATATCGTGCTAATAAACGAACTCTTAAAAATTACACGCCAATCCAAACACAATGCAACTTTTATCTTCATTGATTTTAAAAAAGCATATGACCATGTGGATTGACATTTTCTAGACAAATGCCTAGATAAAATGAATTTTGGCCCCAATTTCAGAAGATGGATAAAAATTCTACACCAAAAAACATCCACAAGAATCGCCATAAATGGCAATATCGCCCCCCCATTTAACTTACAAAAATCTGTTAGACAAGGAGATCCCCTGGCTCCCTTTCTATTCATCATAATTATGGAAGGCCTAGCGGGAAACCTCAATACACACAGGGACATAAAGAGAATACAGATCTCATGTATTCCAGAAGAAGCAATCCTTATCTGCTCCCTGTTTGCGGATGACCTCTCATTGATGGTAGATGCAACCATAAAGAATTTGGAAGCAATTAAAACCCTGCTAGACAAATTTAGCAAATTATCTTATATGAAAGTCAACTGGGGAGAAAAAACCCTGGGGTGGTGGATTCATCATCAAGGGGTCAGACCACCAGAAACACCTCGTATTAAATGGATTCCCAAGGAAAGGTCAATTAGAGTTCTGGGTATTTTCATATCAGCAGAAGGGAAACCAACGACAAATGATAGCACCATTATGCAAAGTGCCCATTCCAAATTGGAATTATGGAAAAATAAACCCACTTCTATCATTGGTCCATCTTTAGTAATCAATAATGTAATCCAGGCATCAACTTGGTACAAATCTTCAATATGGGTATTAGATGAACCATCAACTAAATCCTTCCAACAACTGCTTAGAGCCTTCCTATGGAGAGGCAACCATGATCTCAAGAATGTCATTAGCAGAGTAGCCTGGACATCCATCATACAACCCAAGTCAAAAAGGGGGCTGGGAATCATCGATCCTTCTACTCAGACTATGGTGCTATCCATGCAATGGATTAAAAGACTTCTTTTCAACCCTCAGACCCCATGGAATGCTTTGGCATGGGAGCAAATTAGGAGACTAGCACCCATCACTGAAAAAGAGGTTGACCAAGCATTATGGTTAGAAAACAGGGCATGGACGATTCCAAGGACCATACAAAAGAACTACACCGCCCCGGATCTTACAGACAGGGAGGAGGCAAGACGGGACATCAGTAGAGATCCATTCTGGATAAACATTCTCAAAACCTGGAGTAAAATTCCCTTGTCTGACAAGCAACACCTCAGTAGGTGGGAAAAGATTGTCAGACAGCCACTCTTTAACAATGATAGGATCAGGGACTCCCAAGGTTATACTTCACACTGCATGGACAACCCTTGGAAGGGTTGCATAAAAAAAGGTATAATCAGAATCAAAGATATTTGGGATGAAATAACTAGAGATTGGGTTCTCTCTGAATCCCTGCAAAACAAACTTAAATATTGTCACCGCGTGAGTGAAAGTCTAGACAGGACTATAGACTTAATTCCTCTACATTGGATTCAGATCCTCAAAAAAGGAAAGTCATTGCAGGAAAGCGATTGGGTGGGAATAAGGAATCGTCCTCAGATAGTTGGAAACATCCTTATTCCCCCCACCCAGGATTCATCAGCACTCACGTGTTTATTCCTCTTAAAGGAGGACAACTCAGTAATCTACCTCCCTGAAAATAAGACTGAATGGATTCCAAAAAACCAAATGTTCAGAACAAGGGTACTCCAAAAAGATTCCTCATCTTGGCTGGCTTTTAGACGAGAGGTCGACATAGCGGATCTTCCAATAGACCCAGCAGGCTGGACATGGGAGGCAAACAACAAAAAAGGAAGAAACTTCACTCGTTCCTTGCATTCCCTATCAGTCAAATCAACCTATCGCATGCTCATACCTGGAATTAACCTCAAAGACAGAGTAGTAACAAGATGGATGAAACAATTAAGTGTAAGTAAGGAAGACCTGAGGCTGGTTCGCTGGTTCAAAGAAATAAAATCAAAGCCATCAAAGATTGCCTCGTTGCAGTGGCAAATAGAACACCGTTGCCTCCCCACAAATGATTGGTTGATAAGTAGGTCCTCTCTGGAGAAGAAGGGGTTGGCAGAACCTTGGTATAAACTTTGTAAATCAGCCTTCCCCAGTAAAAAGATCCTGGAAACTACACAACACATCTAGCATGCCCAGGTTCCATTTGGCTATGGAGATGGTGGGACCGCATATGGGGTCAACTGAAAACATCCCAACCTTGGCCATCGGGTTGGAAAGTAATCCTGCTACAAGTCTGGTCTCTGAAACAAACGGACAATTTTACTCAGAACTTATTTACAATTGGAAGAAGAGCAATCCTCTGGGCAATTTGGCAAAGAAGATGCACCTACGAATGTGACAAAGTTAAACTTGATGGCCCAGAATTCACTGACAACATCAAACAGCAAGTGCAGAGCGATATCCTGGTGCAATGGCATAAACTAAAAGACAAACTACAACACAACTCTTCAAAAGCAGACATCCTCAAAGCAATCAAATCCTTCAGCAGTGACTGGCTCGGGGGAGAAAAAGGGGGGAAAATTGGAAGGATTGTATGGAAGGGAGAGACAGGAGACGATGGGCAAAAAGTAAACAGAAATTATAAACTGTTGTTCAACAATTGGTCTAAGATAGATCCCTCCATTCCCTTTCGTCCCATGCCAGACTTTCCAAACCCCTTCCCCCATCCCATAATGTTGATGTCCCTTTGTTTTGGCATGGCCTGGATTTCCCATGAAAGTTCAATTTCCTGAAAGAAAACACTTGCCATAGGAAATGCACGGGGACTTCGGCTGCTGGTCTTCGCGGTCATCACCTTGTATCTCATTGCCTACCATCCCGCGTCGGCATGGGCGTATAGTCTTTGCATTTCGTTGCCTTTGTTATCACCCGACATCACACTGCCTAGCATTCCATATCATGCTGCATGCTTTTCTGCTTGGTTGGCATTYWGGATCATTAAAATACTGTGCATGGGTTAATAAAGGGTTTAGGGTTTAAAAGGGGGTTTTGGGAAAATCCACGGTCTGCTTTTACAATGGCATAAAACAGGATAACCAATACATAGGGGGGCTGCAAAACAGGGTAGGTCCAATGGATAAGGATGCTCCAAGATGGGATGGGAAACACAAGCAGCTCCAAGGGAAAGTGGGGCTCCGAGTTTAGAAGAGAAACGACCTTAGCCCTGCAAATGAACTATAAAACTCTGCACTGCAAGATGTTCAAAGGGACGCTGGACCCGGTTTCCAGCAGGTGTCACTCCCCACCAATAGATGGAGCAGCCCGACAGATAAGCCCTCAATTCTGACGGTTCTCTCACCACCGCCGG